TCCAAAACATGTCCCTGTCACGGGAACATGGAGAGCTACTGCCAGCTTTTCCCTTTTGGTGGCTTAGAAACCGAGATGAGGAGACCTGAGTGAGCTGATCACGGCCACCCCCTTAGCCATTGGCAGAGGGAACACGGTGTCCAATCCTTGGAAGCAATCTGCAGAGGGAGAAATGTTGCCTTACTTCTGATCGACGGCCACATCACTGCGGGGGGGGGGGGGGAGGGGTAGCTCCCAGCCTCACGAAAGTGGTGTGATGTTGCTGAAGGTCAGGGCCCAGAACTTAATGAGCTTTAAAGATAAAACTGTAAGTGGAGCAGTTCCCATTTACCGAACTAAGTTTCTTCTGGAGCACTTTTACCTACATCTTACCTCCTTTGACTGCCCACCACCAAGGCCCCCTTCCCCACTGGGCAGCAGGGACCCCGAAGCTGAGAAGTGAGAGGTTTGCACAGGGCCTCAGGACAACAGGAGTGGAGCCAACACCAGGGCCCAGGCCTCCTGACTTCTGACCCAGGATTCTTTCCCTACACCTGGGGGCTCAGCAGAAACACTGGCTCAGCCCCTGATCCCAGGAGCCTCCCTGGGGTGTGGGAACAGGTGCAGAGGCAGCTGCTTGGAGTTCCGATTGGCCAGGTCAGTGCCTTTCAAAGGCCACACATCACCCCTCCCTGTAGCCTGTGGGAGCTGTGGCTTTGGTGACAGCAACCGTGTGCTCCCAGCTCTGACTGCTCCATCTTCTCCTCACACCAGACCTACTTCGGTGGCAAATCTGGGGTCACGGTGCCCGTCCCTGCCTCCAGGCCCAAGGCTCTCACCCCAGCTCAGGCACTCAGAAGGCGGCTCTATTTTCACAGCCTCCTCTCCCTTGTTGGTTTTTCTTTTCAGTACCTATCATTGCTTTGGAAGTTCCTCTTGTAGTCTGACCTCAGGCAGCCCTTGTGATTTTCTGAGGTAACATTCAGAGAGAGATGACAAGAGAGTAAAAAAAAGAACTCGCAGGCAGAAATGTCTGGTGCTGAGCCTGATTGAAGCAGCTTTCAATGATTAGGGGACAGACAGTACAGGAGCGGCCAGTCCATCCACCGCACCTTCTCTGTTGCCTCCCTGCCCCGGATGCAGAGCGCTCTCTGAGTCCCAGAGCCCCCCGGGCAGGGCGCCTCCCTGTTACCTTGTTTATGAAGGATGCAAAGCGGTTATTCAGGCACTTGATCTGCTCCTTCTCGTCCCTCTTCACCCTCTGCACGGCCGGGTCGATCTCCAGCTCGAGTGGGACCAGCAGGCTCTCATTGATGGTGACGGGAGCGATGCAGGCCGAGGGCCCACAGGGGACCCCCGCTCGGTACCCGAAGCCAGGCAGGCCACACCTGGAGGCCACCCGGGGCCTCCCGAAGCCCACATTGCACAGGCTTCGGGAGCCCAGGCAGCCCAGGGCGCGGAGCGCCCCCCCGCCCCCAGACCAGCACGGCCCCTTGCTCACTGCATAGTGGGTGACCATCCGGGGGAGGACAGCTGAGCAGGAGCTGAAGCTCCGACCTCCGCATCTGGAGCCTGGCTGGAAGGAGCGGCACGACATGGCGGGGGAGAGGCAGAGAGGTGGCTGGAGGGGAGAGCGCGCGGCCCGAGTTCTCAAGCCAGCCCAGCTTCCCCCCTTTTATCTCATTGGGGGTGGAGGGCCAGGCAGAGTCAAACCCCAAATCACCACAAACAGGTTTATAAGCTTGGGATACTGGCAGCTGCTAAGTACCAAGGTGGATAATTAGGGTAGCGAAGAGCAAAGGGAAGGAGCAATGGGCAGTGTTGCTGTCCTCTTTCCTTGTTTATGGGGGCGATGAAAGGGGCCAACCAGACAAACGTTTGGCGTGTTGCGTGGCTCAGCTTCAAGGAAAGGGAGATTTAGGACTTTATGCCATTTAGTGGTGGGGAGAGGCATGAATTATACACCCCCGTTGCCCAAGACTAGAGGCCAAATTAACTATGCTTGTGGATGCTCTATTTCCCCAAGGCTGCTTTTCTGCTTTTCTGCCGATGTGCCAGATCCAAGTGCCCTCCATAGGCTCTTGGGTGTTCCTAGCAGCTCCCTGGGGGGGCGGCTTTTGAGGTGGGAGAAGCCTCCCCAAGCAGGTTGGGCCCTGCCCCTCCTCAGGCCAGGGGGGTGGTGGCTCTGCCTCGGTACCACTAAGGCTCCTGACATGGACTCTTGTCTCTGGGGCCCATTTAGTCCAAAAAAAGCCTGCAGGGGACTCAAGAGGAGATGCTTTGTGCTGGAGGAGGGGAGAGGAAGAGATGCTCTCCCCAAGACCCTTTGGACCCTCAAATATGCATTGATGTCAGCCATTAGGTTGACACTATTGTGTCACTAGCCTTTTGCCTTTTGTCCCCACTCCATCCCCAGCCTCCCCAAGGTAGACAGAGCCTGCCGTAATCTGAGGACATTTCCGGGGACCGTTGTTGCCCTCAGGAATTGCTCAGATGGATGCGGGATACCGGCTTCCTTCCCAGCACCCAGGTCACAGCTCTTTGGAGACGCTTGAAATGCCCCCCGCCCCTAACTCCCTTCCCTTTGCCTTTCCATCAGTTCTAGCCATGAGACCTCTGTGGTTGCCGACTGTCTTTCCCTGCCATACTGGCTTTTTTCCAGGTCACAATTAAGCCAATAATAATAATAATAATAATAACATTTATTGGGCGTTTATTGAGTGCTGGGACCATGTCAAGCTCTACACCCACGATCTCATTTAATTGCATGACGGCACCATGATGTAGTTTCTGCTTTCCAGATGAGAAACGTAAGGAGCAGAGTGATTAATTAAGTACCCCGAACCACACAGCACATCTGTGGTAGGCTGGGATTCGATCCTATTCTTTCTGTCGTCACCATGCTCTGCTGCTCTGATGGAGAAAAGCCTGGTTGAGAATGGGGGTCTCCTGCTGATATGCACTGTCTTCTCTGCTCCACCTGAAGATTAGGAGCCTGGAGCTCCACAGTTTCGGTTTAACTGTGCTGTTTCACTGTCCCCTTCTTCCTCGTCTTGACTTTGGGTCCTAGAATGCTGGGGAGGGAAATTGGGGCTTGGGCAGGTCAGGGCTGTCACAGGAGGCCACGGGCAATGGTGGGAGGCAGAGGGGAGGTGGGTTGGGTCTTGTTGCATGATGGCAGGAGGGGGGGATTCCCATTCCGCCTTGGGGTAAGCATCACAGAGTGGGCCTAGGAGATGGTGTTAGAGGGGATGGTTGCAGTAAGAAGCCAGACCGCAGAGTACCCCCTCACCACTCCAAGGCCAGAGCATGGTGCAGTGACATGTTGCATCCCTGGGAGCCTAGGACCAGAGCTGGGGATCAGCGAGTAAGATGGTTGGCTGGATCTGTTGTGGGCGGAAGGCACTTGCTCCCAGAGAACACCGGTTCCAAGGCCGCCCTCTGAATGGGAGAGAAGACGCGGACTCTACCAAGACCTAGATGCTTTATTGAAGTGATATCAGGAAATAGGCAGGCATGAGGAGCAGGCAGTTCAGGAGGGTTTGAGATGATCAGAGTGGGGTGACCTTTTTTCTGACTTCATATCTCTCCTGTCTTCATGTCCACAACGGGCAGCCAGGCCCTGCTGGCCTTTGGAATGCATTTTGGTCTTGAATGCATGGCAGGTGGGTGCCTACGCTGCTCCCCTCTTCCACCTCTCCTCTACCTCTGCTCCCTTCCCAGGCCGAGCAAGCATCCTCTGAGAGTGAGGAAAAATGCTGGAGGAAGAACTGCCTCTCTCCCGAGTCTGCCCTCTCAGGCCTTCCCTGTGGGGCAGGGGGTTTGGTGGACTGCCTTAAGAGTGTCAGTTCTAGCCAGGCCTGGGGCACAGACAAAGCCACACTGCGGACGTGTCAGAGACAGGGAGATAGAAAAGGAAAGGTCAGGAGAAAGGCAGCAGAGGATATATTGCCAAACAGACGAGTGGGAGAGGAAGAAAAGAGAGAAATGAAGGAGCAAAGGGGAGGGGTGGAGAGAGGAGACACACAGGGTGGCGGCAATGGAGGAGAACAAGGAGGGAGGGGGAAAAAGCAAGGTAAGAAGGAAAGAGAACTTTCCAGAAAAGAGACATGGCTACCACAGAGCAAGGAGAGAGACTCCTGAGCCTGGAGGATTGCTCTGCGGGAGGATTCTCCCAGGGCCATTCTAACACAGGCTGATGGGGCTCCTTTTCCTGGGGCCTCTGCTGCCCGGCCACCTTCCCACGCCTGGCCTGAGCCTGCCCCCCTCCCACTCGGCAGCCAGGCGGTTCTGTGTGAGACGCGAATTCTAATATTGGCTTAAACGAGGCAGATGTGAAAGGAACTCGGCTATGAACTATCACGGAACGTAGCCCCAGGCCATGGAGAACTTTTGCGTTCTTGATAAAATCATTCTATTCTAGTATGAATAAGCGACTTGGTCATATTTTGAAGGGTATTGATTTCTTATTCCAATATTCTGCTGGTGGGAGTTGTCAGGGGAAGTGGCTGGGGGCCTGGCAGGGGACAAGACGGAAGGAAGTGAGGACACAACATGACTGTTGGGTTGGCAGCCTTCCCTGGTCGGAGGGGGCCTGCAGGAAAGGGTCCTGTTTGCAGTGAGAGAGCACACGCGTGAGAACTCTGGCCTAGACTACACGCAACTTCTTTGGGTTGCACCAAGGTCAATTCTAAGCTCCCCCCTCCCCCATAAAGGACGGTGGGTGCCGTGGATCTGGCTCCGGTGGGAAGAGGAAGACCCTACTGCACCCCTGCTCTGGAAGCTGCTGACGGGCTAAGTCCTAGCCCAGGTCTTGGCACAGAGCAGTTGAGTGGGCGTTAGTTGGAGTGGATGCCTGGAGACCCTGGAGGGCCCTGGGATAAGGAGCAAGGGGCGGGGTACGTCTGTGGGGACCCGTCTGGAGGCCGAGGGATGGACAAGGTGACAGCAAAGCGGCAGGGCTTAGGGCTGGGGATTGGGGGAGCCTGGGGGCGGGGGGCAGCCGAGGTGGGCGGGGCCCTTTAGCTCCTGTAACTCTTCTTGGTGGACGACGTCTTGGAGATGATGCGCACGCTGGAGCTGCTGCCGCCCATGCTGCGGCTGCTGGTGGAACTGAAGCCACCCCCGGAGCCGTAGCCCAGGCTGCAGCTGTAGCCGCTGCCTCCGGCCAGGCAGAGGCCACCACCTGAGCTGTAGCCTGTGCCCCCGCTGGAGGAGACCACGGCTGTGGAGAGAAGGCACAGGGTACCGCTAGCAGGCTCCCCCAGGTCCCCGGGAGCCCCCCTCCCTGGCTCTAGGCCCAGGAGGGCTCCCTCCCGCGGGGCTTCCTCAGGGAACAGGAATCTCCTGGGGCCAGGGGCCAGGGTCAGAGAGGGTGGGCATGGACTCGCCGCCTGAGCGTGAGCGTCTATATAGGACATCGCACTCTTCAAAGCTCTTTCACAGCTGTGACCATGTTGATCTCAACAGGCCTGAGAGGACACCATTACTAGGACGACCTCCACTTCCCAGAGGGAAAATGGAGGTGCAGAGACATCAAGGTGCAAGCCCGGGGTCACACCTGCTGTGTCCGTTCCTCAGCTGCACAGGGCTCTCATACCGGACGGGGCATGACGCCTCGTGTCCTGGGCAGGAACGCAGGCTCCCATACTGGAAGAGGTCCGAAGGCCATCTGGGTGAACCTCCCCCAATTGCAATCACCTCTGACACATGACCAAAAGGCAATGGTTTATAGTACCCGCTCAAATACGTTCAGTGAGGGGGACGCAGCTCCCCACAGCCTGTCAAACATTTGAAGATGCCTCATTGACCTCCCCTCTTTGTCCAGTTCTCCAGCTGAAGCATTCTTATTCCTTTTATCAACTGGTTTCAAGCCCTCCCCCATCCTGGGTTTCTGGCCTCCCTCGTGTGCTCTGAGCCGCCATGGGACTAAGGAGACTCTCCTTGTCATGCCCAGGACTCACCACTCCCTGAACATCCCTCACCCTACGGGGTCATTCCGAGAGATGATTCTTCCTGCTCTCCCCTCTGTGAGCTGAGGCCAAGCCATGCTCCACTTGTTCCATTAATTTGCTTCAATTCTAGATACGATTGTTTCCTTTTAACCAGTTTACTAGCCTCTTGTTAGTTGTGTGAGTTTGAATCCTGCCAGAACTAGCTAGGGAATCGCGTTCAGGCTGCGGACCCATCACTCTGTATGTTGTCCTGTCCTGTGACTGGGGTCCTCTGGGGGCCAGAGTGGAGTCCTTCCTGTGGACAAGGGACCCCATCGGGACTGGTCCTGGGTGGTGAGGTCTCACCACAAGTCTCTTCTGAGTCCGCAAAAAGGAAAGGCCAAAGAAGAGGGGGTCTCCACAGAGCTCTTAGGAGGGTCTTAATGACATCCCCGCCCATATCTATCACCAACTCCTTGTTAGTGATGCTATTGCTTCTGTTTTGATGCCCACTTTTCTATTTTCCCAAGTCATTTACTCACAGATGTTCACGGGTCCGACGCCTTCCCCAGTGAGTCTGTTGCGGGGGGATGGGGTGGGTGGAGAGAAAGAGATATTTCATTTGCTGAGAAGTTGAAGAGCCCTGGGCTCTTGTATTTGCAGCTATCAGCACAGAGCGCTTACTGTGTGCCAGGCCTGTGCTTAGCAAGCCTTTTGTTCATCTAGCTAATATGAATCTGCGGGGGGGAATCTAGAAGAGAGACCAAATCAAAATACATAGAGAAACGGGGAGAGGGATGCGTGTTCACTAGGTGGAGAGGGACATTCAGACTGTAGGCATCTCTGGGCAAACACGGAGCGCCTGAGGCCCTTCCCCGGTGTGGCCTGGGGGCTGGGCAGGAATGGCCCTGCTTATGGCCTTCCAGGTAGTCATGTGCCACCTCTGCCTGACACTGTCACCCTGACCCTCTGCCCCAGGTCCAGCAGCAATGATGGGAGAGGCTGAGGCTGCAGGGTGCCTCTGGGGAGCAGCTGCATCTTAACCTTGTTTCCGCCTTTGGAATTTCTATCTGGGGCCTGACACTCGGGGGCTCTTGGTGTCTGTGGCGTGGGTGCTCTAGTGGCATCTGTTTGAGCCATGGTGGGAGCCATGGTACTTGAACAGCCATGGTCGGGGAAGGCCCCCCACCTGCACTCCTCGCCCTCCAGCAGCTTGCGGTAGGTGGCGATCTCGATGTCCAGGGCCAGCTTGACGTTCATGAGCTCCTGGTACTCGCGCAGCTGCCGGGCCATGTCCTGCTTGGCCTTCTGCAGGGCGTCCTCCAGCTCGGCCAGCTTGTGCTTGGCGTCCTTGAGGGCCAGCTCCCCACACTGCTCGGCATCGGTGATGGCGTTCTGGAGCGTGGCGCACTGCCAGGGGGAAAAAAGGAGTTTGTGAGGTCACCCACAGAGAATGCAGTAAGATGTGCATTTAAGGTTAAAAATACGGGAGAATTTCCTGAAATGGATTTCAAGCAAAGGAGGTTGGAGCTTCATCATCTTTAAAAATAAGATTAATCGCTGTCCTTCTTGGTTAATTTGAGGCTTAACCATAACGGAGAAAATGATTTTGGGAGAGTCCTTTCCGATGCCATGCTTCTCTGCATAGTTTTGCCTTGTATGCCCCCGGAGGACAGACCCTTCCCTCGAGGAGCAGCTGCTGGGTAGATCTCAGAATGAAGGTCCCGACTTCCCTGGTGGGGCGGGAGACCGCACAATTACATTCCTGGATGGTCACTCATCGGGGGAGGCTTCTCTCTGCAGGGGCCGAGTTGGGACCAGGCCCAGGTCTGCCCGTGGGCAGGGGCATGGATGGGATGTCTGCTGGGAGCTCAGCCCTACCTGCTTCTTCAGGTTATCAATCTCAGAGCGCAGTCTCTGCATCACGCAGTTCAGCTCGGAGATCTCCATCTTGGTGGTGCGGAGGTCATCCCCATGCCGGCCGGCAGACCGCTGCAGCTCCTCATACTGGGGGAAGCGGATGGTCAGGCCAGAGGAGAGATGGCCGTGGCTTCCCAGGGCCCAACAGGCTTGCAGGGTGCTGCTTGGAAGTGCCTCCCTTTGCCCCCACTGCTGCTTTCCATCAGATTCCATCTGCACCATCTCTTGGCTCTGCCCCTTGCTCTGCATGCCCGCAGGCCCCACCCCACAGCTGGACCCGTCCTGTGTCTGGTCTTTCATCCTTCCCCCTCCACATCAGGTATCCTCACAAGCTCAGCAGCACACAGAGTGCCTGTCAGTCTCTGATTTTTTTTTT